GAGCTTGAGGGTCGCTGTCATAGACAATCTCCTCCGCAGGCTCCCGGCAAGACAAGGCAAGTTGAACTATTGGGTTTATCTTCACTCCTCATCAAACCTCAGCTAAATGACTGAAAAGGCACAAATCCACACTCACCAGGAGGGCAGCAGAGGGGAGAGAATGGACGGGGGGGCCGTGCAGTGTCAGAAGGTGGGAGGCCCAAGGGCACCTGACTGCACACAGAGCCGGAGCATGGGCTCAGGGTTGGGGTGGGGTCGGGGGGTGGATGTGCTTCCAGACTGGAATGGCCTTGGGCCCAGCGCTGGAACCAAATCAAGGCACTTCTCAGAAAAATTTCAGATCATCAGAATTTTGGTTTTTTTTAAATCTAAAAGCTTCCACAAACAGAAAACAAAAATAGGTCGCATTCAAAGGACTGGAATAAAAATGGCATCATATTTCTCAATAGCGATGTTGGAAATTAGAAAACTATGGTCTGCCATTTTCGAAATTCTCAGCCATAATTTATCTTTCTTTCAACTAAAGACAATAATATAAGCTCCCTCTTTGAGAAAAAAATGTGAATTTAAAACATACACTCTCCCTGAAATAAAGAGACTTAAAGGGCAACACTGAAGCAAGTCATCTGTCTTCCTGTTGCTAAACCTGAATTACTTGTGACAGAGCCTCTCGTACCATCTTCCAAAAGCGGGGCGTTGTCCAAAAGCTCATCCTTGGGGAACAGGCCGGTATCTTCTTCCATGCTGGCAGACAGAATTACCTACAAAAAAATTATCAGAAAATACAGATCAACGAGATCAGGGATTTTTTACAAAAACTAAAAACTGGATTTTGTAAGAATTAACAATTTCTCCTTAAAAAAAGACATTAAGAAAATGAATAGATAAGCCACAGACTAGGAAAAAAATATCTGCAGCACACACATCTGACACAGGTCTGGTATAAAGGGCTCCCAAACATCAGCCACGCAGAGTCCACACTCCAATTTTAAGAGGCCGGAAGATTCAGAGTAACCACAACGAAACAAGGTAGGCAGTGGCCACAGCACGGGAAACTCTGTGCGACATCATCAGTCGTTGGGGAAAAGCAAATTAAAACCACAACGAGATACCGCTACACACGGATCAGAATGCCTAAAACCAAAAACCCTGATTGCACCACATGCGGCAAGGGCGTGGAATGACCCACGCTGCTGGTGGGAGCGTAACATGGTTCTCTGGCAACCGCTGGGCAATTTCTTATAAACCACGCACTTACCACACGAGCCAGCAACCCCACTCTGAGGTATGCACCCGAGAGAAGCAAAAATACATCCACAAAACACTTACACGGGAACGTTTACAGCAGCTTATTCATAGTGGCCTGGAACTGAAAGCAAACGCCCACAGACAAGAGAAGCAACAAACAACTGCAGGACATCCGCGCAGCGGGCAATGCTCAGGATGAGCACGGGCAGAGCACAACGCCACAGGGACTCTAGGAATGTCACATCAGGTGCAGCCAGACACACAGTACACGTGGAATCCGAGCACAGGCAGGACTGACTGATGACAGAAATAGGTGCGACTTCCAGGTGCGAGATGGGGAGCGGGAGGGGCAGGGCGGAGCGCGCTGCATCTTGCTTTGGGCGGCGGCAATTCCAGTGGAATTCAAAAGTCATCGACCGAACAGTTACGATCTGTGCACTTTACTGCATGTTATTTATCCCGAAAGAACACAGACACAGCCAAGGTTCAAAGGCAATTCTTTTTTTTTTTTTTGAGACAGATCTCACTCTTTTTGCCCGGGCTAGAGTGCCGTGGCGTTAGCCTCGCTCACAGCAACCTCAAACTCCTGGGCTCAAGTGATCCTTCTGCCTCATCCTCCCAAGTAGCCGGGACTACAGGCATGTGCCACCATGCCTGTCTAATTTTTTTCTATATACTTTTAGTTGTCTGATTAATTTCTTTCTAATTTTAGTAGAGACAGGATCTCGCTCTTGCTCACGCTGGTCTCGAACTCCTGAGCTCAAGCAATCTGCCTGCCTCGGCCTCCCAGAGTGCTAGGATTACAGGCGTGAGCCACCTGGCCTTCAAAGGCAATTCTTAAAGAATTTCAGAATATCCGTTACACTTTGGTTACGGTTTTGGGAATGTTAGGAGCTGCCTGTGTGGAACTCTTGGTGTAGAATCTTATGTGTC